ATTCTAGTCCTAAAGATGGGATGCCAAAGTGCTCATTTAGGAAAATGATGTTAAGGTATAATATTTAGGGGATGGTTACGACTATGCTAGAAGACAACAACAATCCTGACTTAAAGCAGATGGGTACATATAGCTATAGTTCATCCTCGGAGCCACGCCATTACTGAGTAAGCCGCAGGATAGCCTTTAAAATGACCGACGATCAGTCGTTCAAGACAACAGGTTTATCTAGGTGGCCATTTGATTTTAGCGAGGCCTAATTTCTTCGTCAGGGGCTATGATATCGTTGAACTTTTAAATGGATTATAATTATAGTACAGTTTATTATGTGTTAATTCAGCCCATGACCGCCAGTGCTCGGCACTTGGAAGGATGAGAAATGAAAATCATTGTAGTGACTCATCGGAACCCTAGCCTTTGGATGGCTTCATTACCATTGTGGGCTGATCAAACCCGTGAGAATTACTCGCCATCATTAGATTAGCGTATTATGCTGCAATGCCTGATATTCTCGGGCTGTTTATGAGAGAGCCTTAACAATAGCATCATATGCAGGCTTGGGCTGGTAGCTAGTGTTGAAAAGGAGCGGCGAACTCTTTGCTTGCCACGAATCCTAAGGAAAGTTAGTTTTTAATACAAAGTGTCTTTGATTGGGGGACTCACAGCATCACCCACGCCCCATAGAGTGATCCCAACACATTTCTCGACAGCAAGGCAGGCATTGGTGACCTTGACATACTCATCGACTGGTGCGTTGACGATATCCAATTCGGTAATGGCAAGTTCCTTCACACCAGTCGTGGCGAGCTTCTCCAGCCCAGCTTGCATTCCGCTGGCGCTGGGGTTGCCACCGCCGAGGTGACCTTGAATACCAATACCGTCGATCGGGATGCCAGCGGCGAGCCACTTCTTTACGTGTTCAAACATGCCAGTGGTAGTCTTAGCGGACGTCCCGCTCTCGAGATGGAAGTCGTTGATGTAAAGTTTAGCATCTGGGTCCGCTTTATGCGCCGCTTCGAAAGCGATACGGACAAAGTCTTCGCCTAGAACTTGGGTAAAGACGCAATCGCGGAGGGTACCATCCTCGTTGAAGACCTCATTAACAACGTCCTAAACCAATCGTATTAGCGTGTTTCCCCCCTCATATTCAGAGTTAGCAGTCACGTACCCAGGAGCGAATCTTTCCCTTGTATCTTCCCACAATGGTGCTAATGTGGTTCTCGATGACGCTGGTAAGCTCTTTTTTATCTGTGATGGCTTTGACGTAGTTTGGTAGCTGCTGGTACCAAAGGAGCGTGTGGCCCCGGATGCTCTGGCCGTTCTGCACGGCAAAATTAACAAGCGCGTCGGCACCGCCAAAGCTGAAGCCGCCACGGGATGGCTCAATAGCATCCCACTTCATGCTATTCTCAGGGGTTAGTTGCCCAAAGTCCTTCTTGATGATGGCGGCATTTTGGGACTTGGACAAAGTGCCAGAGTCAGCTGCAGTCCCGTAGTAAAGCTTGCCCTTCGCCTTGAAGAGCTCGTCAATGCTGTCGGACGAGGAGCCGCTGCCTTGGGTAGACGTTGGGGTAGCCGAGGCTGTGGTGGAAGAGGTAGCCCGTTCGCTGGTGGTCAATGTAGCGGAAGGGGTTACTGAGGGAATCGTCGTGGAAGTGATGGGAGGAATCGAGGTTGCTGTAGTAGACTCGCTAGTTGATGTTGCGGTAGTAGTATATGCTACTGAAGAAGCCGTAGATAAAGTCGTCTGAGACCGATGGCCGCCACATGGCCTAGCTACAATGCCCACAGGGCTAAGGAGGAAAGCGAGTGTTGCCGGCTTCATTTTAATGAGTGCAAATTTAGAGGATAAAGAATGAAACTAATTCAGTAAACAATAATTGAAAAAAGGAACGGATTGGTTAGATGTAGGATATAATTAATGAGAGTGAATGGCTAAGCCTAGAATAGAATCTCATTACCATTTATAAAGAAAAATCATCGAGCAATTCAACATCGTGAGTCTGTTTCTCTCTGGCCAGGGGAACGACTTATATAAACTCACGAACCCCCCACCCAAGGAGTATGTAGTCCCCTAAGGGAGACCCTTAAGATGCAACCCTAAGAGGCTTAGACAATGCAAATCCGGAACGTGTTACCGACCTACGCGCGACCTAAGTCGCATGCAGCTAATCAGCGGTTATGGCTTTCTCAAAGGGGAATATTTCGTTTAATGATGTCCCATTCAGCGTTGGCCTAGTCTCCGCTAGTTGAGAACTACTCATGGTATTGGTTGTGTGTAAGATATCGGAAACTATCCGAGACGGGGATGGTGGTGAGATCGCTTTTGACGCACATGTCCGGTTGGTGGAGCATCAGCGGAGCAGGTTCAGGGTAAATCACACGTGGACCGCCGATAGATATTAATGATTGATGAAAACGTCTTGTCTCATCGACCGAAGTGGGTGCCATATAACCTTACCGGGGACATTCCTAACAAAGTATATTAATTCATCTTTTCTTCGTTGTGATTTCTCTTGTATCTATGGTGAGTTTTCCCCGGGTCAATATTATTACTCCTGTTCCATGTTCGCGTGTTGATCGTATCCAACACTACCCCCTTGAAGTCCAAGCGTTCCAGGAGGATGCACAGCTTGCATGAAATGCGACTTAAAACGGCACATATACGCAAACCACGCTCCTGGGCGTGGTTATCGTGTACCATCTATAACTAATGTACCTTAGCGTTGAAGAAAATACGAAAGCACACGACGGAGCGCGGACGCGGTTCTCTACTAGCTACCAACTTGAAAGATTGCCAAGGGCCCAAATTAAGGTACGCATTGTACTACATATGTAGAAGAATTTTCCTAGCGCTGGTATGAAAAAGAATAGCAAAATTCTATAAGACTTGCTAATTTAAGTACTTAGCGTAAGAAGTACCTTGTCTAAATCCAACTTGTATATCTACCTATGTAGTACTAGCTCGTTGATCACACCCTATCCCCGTCAGCCATGACGCGCATGTCTGTGATGTTTTCCCCAATTGCTGCTTCACCAGTAGGAAATAGCACGATGGTTCCTTAAACCGACTACAAATCGCTATGTTCAAATTCCCAAATTATATAATCGAATAGGACCAGAATCACCATATCAGCAATTGGAAGTATACTGAAACCGCAATATATCCCGGATAATGTGCATTAATTCTTTGTCCATGGCTGTGATCGTCAGTACTTCCATGCCTACTACTATGACCTCGCTTTCCCAAAGAGGAAAACAGCTATCATTATGAATGTGGCCCAAGCTCCTTGTATGTCCCTGAAATAACACGGCCTTAAATCAGATTAATGACATCAGAGTGATCCAAGTTACTGGCAAGGCTTGTCAAGCTAAATCTAATCTTCCTTATTTAAATACCAAATCGCCAACCTCTCTTAGAATCTATTAGATTACCTATTATCCAGACCAAGATTAAACCTCCTCCAATTCTCTCCGCTTTAGATACTCGTAATACTTTTATTCCTAACGACCGCTACGACTTTCAATATGACCACTACCAGATCCGGTGCCAAAATTGAGCCGACCTCGAAGAATGGAAATGGAGCAGGAGTTGGCTCCAAGCATCAGCTAGACACGAAGGCATTGCCGGAATCTAAACGGACTAAAAATGACGGCGACAAGAAGCAGCAGACCATAGAAGATACTATTCCAAGGTACTTCTACAACACAATCTTGTATGATAATTGATAATAGGTAGCTAATCTGGCCAGTCCTACTGAAGCGTACGGCGACGGCACAAGCCAGCTCCCAGCTAATGGGAACAATGTAAATAGTAAGGATGAGATGACACAAGAGGAAATAGATCAAAGGGGCTCGGCTGAGCAAGCAGGGGCCAGAGAAGGGGTTATCTCGTCCAACATCTTGGAGAAGGGTATCATATACTTCTTTATTCGCGGCAGGGTAGGTATCGACGAGCCTAGCAGTATCAATGATATCCGCCGCAGTTACATCATCCTGCGCCCCTTAGCTAAGGACGCAAAGCTTGGCGAAGGCACGATCGACGATGCTGGGAATAGCCGTCTGATCGCTATTCCAAAGAAGATATTGCCATTGAGCGGTAAGGATAGGTGGATTTCGTTCGTCGAGAAGTCGCATACTTCCTTTAAGACGTTGAAAGACGAGTTCATATCTGCGTCGGACTACACCACCAAGACGGCCGGTGTTCGACATATGCCTGCTGCTACCCCCGTAGCGGAAGGTATCTATGCCATTACGAGTATCGGTCGAGAATCTCATCTTGTCTACATGGTAACTTTACCGGACAATCTCGGCGAAGTGCAGAAGAAGATTGGACTAAAGGAGAAAGGAAGCTTCATCATAAGCACCAGGAACCCTCAGTATGAGCCTCCGAAGGGTACTGCACTTCCCCAAGCTCCCGAATATCCAAAGGAGTAAGCCCTCACAAAATCATATTAACCTAGACCGGCTGCCAGCTAACACTTTACGACGTAGGTTGCAAGATGGATTCCACGCACTTCGCTGGGTCGCTACGCAGCCTAAGCATCTCGACTACGCAAACACTCAATTTTTACTAATTGGCGAATCGAGTGGAATTCAAAAGGCCACCGAGCCGCAGAAGGATCAAAAAGACGGCGAGGAGGACCCCATAAAGGAGCTGGAGAAGCTGGAAGATGAAGACACGCATCGCATGGAGAGCCTACCGGGCGACGACTCGGCGGCTATCTTTGGGGATTTGCACGTTCGAGCTCAGGATTATCCCAGACTCCAAACTACCTTTTAAGACCTGAGAGATAATCATACAAAATGTATTAACGAGAAAAGAAACTTCAATACGGTCAAATGCTGCCATATCGCAACGCATTAAAGCTGCTAATAACTGCGACTTCTCAGAATAGCCTAACCTAGCACAGTATAATATGGAACCACAAATATTAGAATCTTGCCCTATAGATCATTTTACCGCGAGCGAATCACCATCAACTCCGTGGAAAAGGAAGTCTCGATTCGTCTAGTGGTTAGGATACCTGCTTGTCATCGAAACCGCAGGTGGCCGGGGTTCAATTCCCCGATCGGGAGATTTTGTTTGACGTTTTTCTTTTTTCCGTAGGTACCTAGGTACCTAAGTTATGCGACCTAAAGCCATGTTCTAAATCATATAACAGGTACCTGTTTTGCATATGACTGCTAGCGCAGACTTTAGCTGCTTCTACTAATGCACTTTGTTCTTTTTATTTTTCCGGTCTATTTCATGGATATCTTATTCCCATCAAATCCACCTGGTGTAAATTACAGGTATATGTAAGGTGTCTAGGTACCTAGGAATATATATAAGATATGGACTATGTTGAAGTTGATGTATTCGTCTTCGCTAGTGGTAAGACTGTAACCTTGGGCGTCTCCCATATGTCCCAATCGTACGATACTTGAGGGTCACCTAACGGTCTCAAAGTAGCAATGCGGAACCTGTAAGATCCAGGCCGAATACTCGATCCGTTGGCGAACCGCCCTAGCCAGTAGTATATGCCCCATTTATCGCGCGGCTGGTCATACAGGGGGAAAGAAAAGATATCGTCCTCGCTGTCTTGGCCCGGTACAAACCACTGAGACTTCGACGTGCCGTTCCAACTCGTGGCCGATCCGACAAACTTGTTCTTGCCGACCTGAGGTGGGTACGTCCAGTCGCGTTCAGTATAATCTTCGCCGAATATCTAGGGCGATAGAGGGTTAGTCCAGCGATATCCATGTAGGGGGGAGAACGGTTGAAGTCGGAAAGCAAACTTACATCCCAGCGCAACTCTTCCGTACCCCAGGCGAACCCAGTATTAAGCTTAGGGAAGTCTTGCGCATCGCGAGATAGGTTGAAAGTAAAGCTAATTCAAATATCAATATTTCTATACTAAGAATATTCAGCACGAGAGGTTGGGGGCTTACTTGGACTTCTGCTGGATTCTATTGTCCGAGACCCCAGATGTCAACCAAGGATAATTACCACCGTAGTCCCAAATATTGGTGATAGTTTGGTTGAGGTCGCAAGCAACACCTGCGTTCATAGTTAGATAAAACCGCATCTCAGGTTGAAATTAATATAGATTGGGCATAGAAACCGACCAAAGTAAGGAACGCCGAGTTGCTCGCCGTTATCGCCGCTTATTAGGACCTTGCCGCTGTAAACGGGTAGGCTGCTAGCGTTGAGTCCTTCAGGGGCCGTGAAAGTAAATCTACAAGGGTGTTAGTACAGCAAGAGCGGTTTTTATTACATTGGGGACGGGAGAGGGGAGTCTGTACTCAGCTGTTTTCTTCTCACCAGGCGAAACAGTGAAATCCCCCTTAGGGAACGAAACCTTAGGGGTCATCTTTACTGGCTTCACATCCGGGTATAGCTTGAGCCCGGGAATAAATGATTGTGGGTGGCCCGGTACAATCGGTTTCCATGAATCGTAGCCGCCTGCATCCTGTAGCGAAAACGTGTACGTGATAGGTTTATCCCCGTAGTTAGTAATGTCAACTGAGTGCGTACCGGTAAAGTGGGCTGTATCGTTAAGCTCGAACTTGCGGCCCTCAAACCCGAGCTCTGTAGAATATCCCAACACGCGCCCTGCGTCAACAAACCCTGCGCCAACTTGTGCAGTAGGCGCCCAGAACCCGTAGTCAGCAGAGCTTGTAGACCAGTCGGCCCAGGGGACAGCGCGTGCCGTGCCCATGATTCTGGCGGTAAGCCGCTTGGCCCACGTAGGATCATCTGCGTGAGCAGCTCGTCCACCAAACTTGCCTACCCACAGCGCGGCTACGCCAGCAATGTATGGAGTAGCCATGCTTGAGCCGCTAAGTACTTGGTACCGGTCGGTTGGATAAGTAGAAAGGATCTTGGTACCCGGGGCGGCAATATCTGGCTTGAGTGCAAGATCATATGTTCCTCCCCAGGATGTGTATCGCGCTGGACGGCCGCCACCTGAATTATAAAGGCCGACGTAGTGAGCAGTATCTACGTCAAATGAGGCCGCAACCTCGATACCTGCGGCGACTGCGTCGACGATTGCCTTACCCGAACGGGCCTCTATGGCTGCTATGAGACCGGTAGTGTTGCTGGTATATAACGTTTCGTATGGTCTATCATCATTATAGAATAAGACGTATTGTGCACCGAAGGCTGCAATATTGGTATGCTTGACGGAAATTTCACACCCTCCAATTCTGGCCAGGGCGATAGTTCCATTGAAACTGGTGGTATTAGCCGGCAATGGACTGCAGGCATCATCCTCTACAGACGAGTCGAGCGACACCGGTTTGATAGGCCAACCGAGGATGGTATTAGGAAAAAAGTCGGACGAGGGTATGTAGGCAATTTGTGTCTCGTTTGACTGGCCGTCCAGTTTGAAGTCCGCCGAAAAAGCCTGGGAAGGGAATGCCCCGGGTTCAGCAGCTCCTACAGTAAGGACGTTTTTCCCCGAGGCGCCATTGCTAGCATCAAATGGGCCATTCTCGCCTTCATTTCCCGCAGCAATAGAAATAACTACGCCTTGTTCGACCATTCTCGAAGCCAGTACGGCCCAAGCATTGGAGGTGAAGCCGCTATTCTCCCCAAGGCTTGCGCTAATAATATCAGCCTAGCGGAAAGAGGAACGTTAGCGGTGGGTTAAACAAAAGCAACCTTTCAACATCTTACGAGAGGGTGGAGGGTGAAGGGTGAGGGTCTCGTCTTAGGTACTTACCCCTGAGTCGAACGCCTTAAGAAACCCTTCGATAACTGTCTCTTCGTTTGAATAACCACTCTTTCCGAATACTTTGAAGGAGAGTATTTTGGCACCTGGAGCAACCCCAATAAATCTATCTTGTGTTAATGTTTATACAAGGGTGATGCAACTATATCGTAAGAGCGGCTTACTGGTCACTCTTCCCTGCGATGATTCCAGCGACATGAGTGCCGTGACCATATTCGTCCATCGGATCATTGTCGGGCTCGGCTGGTACATCAGGCCATGCTAACGAAACAGATTCAAGTCAGCCTCACATGCGCCGGTACATAAAAATAAATTAGGAGTAGCGACAAACCGCTGCCGACAAGATCATAACCACCAATTACTGTATAGTTTGGGCCAATACCTCCGCCGAGCTATAAACACGTCCTGATTAGTGAATATGGAGATTCATCTACCTAACTGGATATCGTAGATAATTTTCGGACGGAAGACTTTACCGCAGGATGGGTGTATTGAACACCACTATCAACGACAGCAATGATCGCACCCTCGCCAATGATCCCGGCTTGATGTAGCTTCTCAACACCCGTCGAACCATGTACCGAGTAATTAGAAGCAGCCGCATCGTTGCTAAATGACTCGCCCTCGATCGCGGGCGGCAAGAGACGCACGAGGGTTGATTTGTAAACCGACGCTACGACAGGGCCATCTTCATCGGCGTCAAGAGCATCTGTGAGCCACTCGGCGCTGCAGTGACTCTCGCACTCGATACTTACGCCCGGGAAAAGATCCGAATCGAACTCCTTCACAACGCGGAGTCCGGGGAGTCCGGTAACTTTGGCCGAGACGCGGGCTCTATGCGAACGCGACTTCAACTCGACGATGAACCGCCTCGGGGTGGCATTTTCGCCGACCTTCAAAGTGCCGTTCAGATTACGGCGTGAGATGAATTCGGCACTCTGCGCGCTGCCGGGAGCAGCGAGCAGCAGCGGTAGGAGGGAGTATCCTACTCGCATATTGTCGTCGGCAGCTTTACAAACGAAAAGATGTGTGACTCAAATCCGAGGTGCGGTGCTATGAGAGTGGAAAAAAAGGAAAAAAAACCACGACTTTATATCCATCATGATTCAATAAGTACAATAGCACTTCGCCAGGTTATAACGATCTCGTATTTCGAGGTTACATCGATAATAGGTCTGGGAGCCTAAGCAATCATCAGCCCGTATTTTGTGGATTGCTTTTGATGTGGATTATCCTTCGCGAAAGACGTGCCCGAGCAGCCCTGCCGATGGACCGTCACGGCGATGAACTTCCTTGCTTGGCTCCGGGGTATTACTAGTTTAGGCGAAAAACCCCGGGCGCGACGGATTATCAATGCCATAATGCCATTGAGTACGAGAATCTAATCCAAAGCTATGGAATCATGTAAACAATGGTTTGATGGGGGGATGCTATCCTTCAATTACGTGCCCACAAAAACCAGCTACTCACTTAACCTACCTAACCAAGGTAAGTTAGGTTAGTTAATACATTATTAACGGTTAGGTACCTCTTATACTAACGGCAACCTAGAATGATCCGAAGAAATATGAAAAATAAATGGTATAACCTAATTCCACAATACCTATGCTACAACCTCCCTTCGACGTGTTCGCGTTACGTTATAACCCAAGCTTTTGTTCCCCGCTTAGTTTTATTCGTATGTACGCCTCCCTATCCGGGTGGACCGAACCTGTATCGGGAATACGATAGTAAAAACCCGGGGCTATACGGCATTTCAACGGCTATTTCGATCCGATGATATTCGGGCGCGTTGTCCGTGTCCGTGACGTACCGTGCCATGCTGTGCGGCCCTCATCATTCGCTCTATGGGGCCGGAAACTAACGACGGACAAGATGTGGCGCTTCTTTCTCATCCCACACATCGTACGATAAGTTATCGTCAGCTATCATACGACGATGTCAGTCATCTGCACCAGCGCTGACTTAGTAGTCCTACTCGAATACCTCATGCAATAAAAATTACCCATCAATCAATGGCTTATTCCTCCAGTTAATTGCATCTAAATATGCCCATACGAGTAAGACGAAGCCGCCGCTGTCTACTATTTATATATTTCCTCATCGGCTTTCTCACTGCGATCGTATGCATGGTCTTCTTTCGACCTAATCCCAGCGTTGTTTTCCACAGACTATCGAACTCCTTATTCACGACAATGCCAGCCGTGCCAAGGAAGCCCGTGATTGTCGTTGGCTCTGGACTTGCGGGCCTGTCCGCTGCCCATGAGGCGCTTCGGGCAGGTGCCACTGTCCGCTTGCTTGACCGCGCACCTAAGCCGGGTGGTAATAGTATTAAAGCTTCATCTGGTATCAACGGCG